TCGTTGGTTTTCCCGGTCGATAAGATTTCGTTTGAAGACTGCCGGCGAGATCACTCCGACGCCCATCTACGAGAAGGAGAAACATAACTCGACTCTTGGAGATGATAATAAGCAAAAACTATTCCAAGTCATACCTCATGTTACCGATCAGAAGAAAATCATCACGTCTAGTGATTTTGAACAAACAAGTAACGAGGTATTTATTTAACTAAGAATTCTTTATATTGTTTTGTACTTTACTATGCGAAATTTGCTTATCTACGTATTCATATCATAATTGTCACAATATGGTTTTGTTGAATTTTTCCATTTTTCTAGACAAGCACGAACGAACAAAGAGACATAAACCCGGATCCGTTGAGTTTATCAGGAGGATACGAGACATCATGTCACAAAGACGTATCGACTACAATCCATGGGCATGGAAAACTCGTCCCGACTGAAACGTTCGAGACCGGGACAAAACCTAAGCCCTCACGGGTCAGAAGAAGGTTGCGGAGATTCGACCCGGTAATAGGGATATCAATCATAATGCTAACGCTAATTATAATGTTGATGTGGGGACGTTTGTGCGCGATTATTTGTACATCCACTTGGTGTTACTTTCTCCCTCGTATCAAAGAAGTTGCGACTGCGGCCAAACGCAAACGCTGCGGTGGCGGTAAAGTTGAAGGCGGGTTGTTTCCGGGTGATTTGGATTTGAACTCTGAGGCTTATAAGAAAAAAGTGGTTTTGGATGGGTTTCTTGTTCGGCAACACCGCGTTTCCTTCTGACGACGTTTCGTTATTTGTTTTCAATTTTTATATATAGGAGTAATTTCTTGTTTATTCGTTGATTTTATTTTGTCGTATCTTTTTTGTTTTTTTAACATAAGCAAATATGTGTGTGCATTTTTAAAAACTATACAGACTAACTAGCACGATTGATTTTGTTCATTCATATTTCATCGGAAATCATGACCATGTATTGTTGAATGTCTCCAAATCCAACATTGGACCTCTATAATCTTTTTCACATTCAACTCTGCGTCACAAACCTGCATACTTCGGAGTTCGGACTCGGCGTTTCGACATAACATTATCTGCTAATTAATCTCTTTAATATTTTAGTCAGTATCGTTAACATGTAGAGGTGATATTCAATTATTTTGTAGTTTTCATAGAATTAGAGTTAAACTATGTCACATTCTGAGTTTTATTTATTTACTTAGTACTGTTTTATTCTTCTTCGTTTCAGTTACATATTGGTCTTCAATAATAAGGTCTTGATCAATGTTTTAAAAACCGGACCGGACCGGAGATCAGACCAGGTTCGACCGCGAAACGGCCAGCTACCCGGGTTGGGTTGATCCGGATTTGGTTTGG